GTAGGGGAAGAGAACGGTTTTTTTGGGTGGACTCGGGGAGGGGCATGCGTGGGAATTTAGAGAAATGGAGAATTGCAGTGCTGGGAAAGGAGCTTTGAGGAGTGCAAGGAGGAAGGGATCTAGGATTGTCAAAGGAGAAAGGGTGGGGTCTTGAGGGTAGGGAAGAAAGAAGTTGGGGCTGTGGATTGTGAAGTTGAGCACAGAGGAGCCTGAAGGAAGGGGATTTTGAAGGTTGAGGACAGAAGACAAGGAAAGAAATGGAGAGATATGGATCCTAGGAGAAGGAATCCCAGAGAGGGGAGGAAGGGAAGAATAGGTGGTAATGACCGAATAGATGTGCCTGGGGATGAGAGTGGGTGGAGATGAATGATGTGGGGAAGGACAGGGAGGCTGGTGGTCGTGGGATTGGGTCTAGGGGTCAGGGAGCCAGATTTCATTCAGAAGGGCCATGGGAGGATTAGAAGGGCATAAGGTTTGAGAGGTGGGGACAGAGCTGAGAGGGGGTGAAGGAAAGAGGGTTTAGGATTTTTCATGTGGAAATTGGATTTTGTGTGAGAAGCTCTAAAGTTAGGTAGAAAAACTAAACTGTAAGTCTCAAGGTGTGGGAGAGATTGATAATGTTCCTGGAGGAAACTAGGGAGCAGGGTATGGTACCAACCTCTGGAGCTTGGGAGAGGAAAGGGTATGGATGAGAAGGCAGGTAGGAAAATGCGAGTTACAGGAAAAATAAAGGGTGAGGGAGTTGAACATTGAATAATGATGGCTGACACAGAACAATGAAGGTAAGATTGTTAGTTGGTTATTCATGATTTAGAACTAGTTTCTGTTCAGGTTTTTATGTTGGAAATTTTCTCAAGAATTCTGCATTTTCAAATTAACCAAGGGTGTCTGCAGCCTTGGGATGAAGGCCAAGAGTTGACAGATGTTTTCCTGGTGTGTGGATGTGGGTAATTTCTGCCCTGGCAGAAGGAAGAAGGGAGGCCTCAATGTAGCGCTCTGTCCTGGCTCTGTTCCCACCAACTCTTTCCTCAAATGTTCACTGTTTTTTTGTGTGTTTTTTAAAATCTCCCTGTCCCTCCCTCCATCCCCCCAGCTTGAGCAGTGAATACCAGAGGAATCAAACAGGTGGATGAGATTAATTTTTAACATATTTTTTTTATCCTTAAGGCTTATGCCATATTTTTATTCTTGAGAGACAGCATCATGCAGTGGAAAGAGCTTGAACTTTGGAGTAATACAGCCTTGAGATTGAATTCTAGCTCTGCCACTTACTAGCTCTGTTCCTTAAATAAGTTACTTTACTTCTCTGAGCCTAAAAATCTGTTAAATGGCAATCCTGACCTAATAGACTTGTTGACCATTACTTGAGACCATTTAATATATAGTACCTAGCACAGTGCTTGGCACCTGATAGGTGCTTAATAAATGGTAGCTATCATACCCACTATCATCATCATAATCTTTACTATGATTTATTATGGGGATTGTTAACTTACTTTACCTACTAAAGTTAGGTGTTTTCTTCTCTTTCTCTTCAAATTAGATATCTATAGACTGAGCTCCCAATTTTAATCCTGTTGCCTCCAACCCTCCAACCCCCATGACATAAGAATAAAGCATCTCCGTATTCTCATGCTTCTTGCCTGGTAAACTGGCTTCAAGTTCTAAAAAGCTATCATGTTTAGTTATCAATTCTTTTATTTTGCCTCTTATTCAAGGAGGCTGTAGAGAAGTGAGTTATTAATGTAGTAAGGTTATATCTTATTCATTTGATGAAATTACCTGGCTTCATGGTATTGGTTCATTTATGGTGGCCAAATACTAGAACATGCACTATTGTAATACTTTTCTACAATGTTGTATGGGTTACCAAACTCTGTAGGGAGCTGGGAGACTATTAGAATGTCCCTGTTACTCTGTTCATCTTATATAAAATATAGCTAATGGAGATCTACACAGAACATTGTTATTCTTACAGATACTGAGTATTTTCATTTTCTAGTTTGTATGGGGTTTTTGTCATGGTATGTCTCCTGAGAGGAATAGACCACCCTGTGCAACAGCCAGGCAGAAGCAAAAACTAAGTGCAGAAGCTTTGTATGGAATTCTCTTGCCTTTATGCTTCTTAATAACCTTGAAAGGTTTAAATGCTACGGGTTATAATTCTTAGATCATTTTATAGTACCTCACAAGCTCTCAGGAAGCTCCCTATTGGGAGAATGCAAGATGCGCAAATTCAGTAGCAGAAATCAAAGGTCACCAGGATACCCTGAACCAAGATGAATTCCTCAAGTGCCATAGTTGAAGAAGAGACCTTGGGGTTTCTGGACAGATGATGTAGGTTTACTCTTTAGGAGATATTGGATCTCTTTTCATTATTTAGAAAGAGGACTAGCACTTGATGAGTAATTTAAAGCTAAAATAGAGCCATAACTGTGCCCCTTTTTGAAAATGATCCCTGGAACCAGAAGCTTCCAGGATTTGGAGCAGCCTGGGTTAACATCCTTACTCCTGTCCCAAGCTGCTGTGCCCTCTGCTGGATAGAATCAGACTTTTCTGAAATTTATCCGAAGTAGTCATCCATTCATCCATTTGTCCATTTTACTCCTGAGTTTGTGGAAGGCACTATTGGGAGTGAGGATTACAGGTAATACAGATGCACAGACCCTATTTCTTTGCCAAGGAGCTTATAGTGTGCTAGTCCATTATAATATGTTATCTTCCATTGAATTTGCCTTTCTGTTAAAATCAAGTCATTCCTTTTTAGGACCATACTTAGTGTCTACTTTCTCATTTATAGGTAGAGTAGGATTCTGAATGTCCAATCACAGGGATAAAGACCAAAGAGGATCTGCTTTATCTTCTCATCAAGATTAAAATCTGTGAGATTGAAAGGGCCAGACGCTTGCTTCTGCTGGAAGAAGAGTGTAGAATAAGTGAGGCATCTCCTTAGCAGCAAGCTGAACACTAGCAAGACTATGAATTATAAGAGCTGGCACTGTGACAGGAGTTTTTCTTCTGGTTGGTAGATTTCTCCCCCTGGTAGTACCAGTAGCAATATACTCCCATCATCTGCTTTGCTTCTGCCACCTGCAGAAGGGTCTGGCAAGTGGGGGAGGAGCTGCAGCTGTTGCCTGGAAGAGGCGCTGGCTCCTAGCAACAATATCAGCAGACCCTGCAGCTCAGAGCACTAAGCCTATCCCTTTGAGGTCTCACCCTTCATCTCAGCAAATATCTGTTGAGGGCTTACTCAGCACTAGGCACTATGTTAGGCCTGGGAAAGAGAAACAAATAAGTATCTTGCCTTCAAAGAGCTCACAACTCTGGAAACATTAGTAAGAGAACAGGCATAGTACATGGTGTTAAGTGCTATGTAGGAAGAGCCAGTGGTGCTTTGGGAAAAAACAGACAGGCATGCACTGGTACAGGGGTTAGGGAAGGTTCCCCAGGAGAGGGATGGTGGCGTTAATGATGAGTAGGAATTAGCTAAGTCAGAGAAGGTTGTACCAGCCAAAGGGAGCCAAATGGGGAAAGGCCAGTGGGAAAAGAGCCCAGCCAGTTTACCTAGGTAGTATTGCATGGTTAGAGTAGGGCATAAGGAAATGAGCAGGAAAGGGTGAGGCTCTCAGCCTAAGCAGGGCCCTCTTTTCTCGTGTGTTTTACACACATAATTATCCTTGGGAGAAACATGGATTGTACTGATGCCTGCAAACAGAATCAACTGTTTGATCTCCAGAGACTCAGCATTTTTTATCATTGACTTGATTGTTTGTTGATACTTTTCAGTGTCATCATAGCTACATCCTAGCCCTGCATTGATGCAGAAGAAGCTGGGTTGGTTCACTATAAAAGTCAATGAGAGTCTTTCAGAGATAATAGCTTTTAAATCTATATTATATTAAATTTTACCTTTCTTCTCCCTTTAAATTGTTATAGAAATGATAATCAAATACTTTCATTTAATGTAGCAATTTCACATGTATATTGAAATCTCACAGTTCCTCAGGAAAACAAGTATTTATTCCAGTTAGTGCTTTGGCACAAAAATGTCACCCATGTGATGGCATAAATAACCAACTGGTTTTGATATTTCATCTTACCTCAGAAGTTCCCTAAAAGAGCCTTAATAGAAGTGGTGCTTCCAAGGGCCAGAATGGCTTTTATTTAGCTCTTATGATAGACATCTTCATTTGTAAATCCAATAAAAACCCTGTTGCTTGTGTTCTGTATAAGGTTTAGCAAATGAGTAAACTGCAGTTCTCCCAGTATCTGCTCAGGGACTATTACATGCCAGAGCACTTTGTTGGGAAGTCTGGTTGAATTAAGCATGATCCCTCCTCTCAAGGAGCTCAAACCAGCTGAACACAGACCCAGAAACAAATCAGTAGCAGAACAGTGAGCCAAGTACAACAAAGAAGTGTGTGGAAGGTGCCACGGTAGCAAGGGAATTTTTCATTTCGAGTCTTTGTTCTATGTATAAACCTGGTTTTAAAAACAGAAGTAAATTCCAAATGTACTATTTGTAACTTGAAAATCAATAAAAATTTGACAATTTTAATGGCTGTGTAACATTCCATGGTTTGGATGTATCATAATTTACTTAATAACATCCCTGGTTTTGGACATTTAAGTTGTATCCAGTTCTGCTAACATCAACTGCTGCCATGACTTTCCTTGTGAGATGATTCTTTGCCCACTTCTGTGATGAACTTCCTTAGGGTGAATTTTAAAAATGACATTTGAACTGGATTTTGAAAGATGAATAGGAGATCACCAGATATACAAAAGGGGGAGGGAAGGAAAGGGCATTCCAGGTAAAGGCAATAGAGGCAACTTCCAGTGCCAGAGTTCACAGGCAACTGGTAAGCTTCATTTACCCAAACCAGCCACAGGGCCTGCCCGGTAGGCTCATAAAGTTCTGGGCACAGCAAGATGAAGTTACATGTTACAGATGGCATTTTAATTGGATTTAAAGCTTCCCTTGTGCTTTGCTTTTACAGTCACAAGCAAGGCAATGTCTTACTACCTCAACTCAGAAAACCACCTGGACCCAGGTCCCATCTATGTGCGAGAGAATGGGCAGCTGCACATGGTCAATCTGGCCTTGGATGGCGTCAGGAGTAGCCTGCAGAAGCCAAGGCCTTTCAGACTGTTTCCCAAAGGCTTTTCTGTGGAGCTTTGCATGAACAGGGAAGATGATACTGCACAGAAAGAGAAAACCGATCATTTTATCTTCACGTACACCCGGGAGGGGAACCTTCGGTACTCCGCCAAATCCCTCTTCAGCCTAGTCCTGGGCTTCATCTCTGACAATGTTGATCACATTGATTCCCTTATTGGCTTTCCTGAGCAGATTGCTGAAAAGCTATTCTCTGCTGCTGAAGCCAGACAGAAATTCACAGAGCCTGGTGCAGGGCTGAGAGCTTTACAGAAATTCACCGAGGCCTATGGAAGTCTGGTGCTTTGCTCCCTGTGTTTGCGAAACAGGTGGGTATTCTGATTAGGATATTGAATGTTTTATTGGCTATGTTGTGTCAAGCTCTGGAGCTTAGTAGACTTGGGGGCTTTCCCCATCAAATAGCACTTCAGTTTAGAACTTTCAGACACAAGGTGGTGGGCCATTTTAAGGAAAATCACTGTCTTGTCTTCCACCCTCATTCTCCCAAACAACTTAGCTTTATTTTGAAAACATTTTACAAGGATTAGTTGATTGCCACAGTTCCATTAGGCTGAAAATACCCTTCTACCAACTTTCCTAGTAAGAGAAAATAGAAAAGACAAGATGTGATCTGCCACATATTTCTTGGTATGCTTTTTGGGGATGTGAAAATTAGTAACAGAGTTCTCAGCCCTGTGCTAGTTTTCAGACCACTAGATATTGAGCACTAGATAAAAAGAAATTTTAAAAGAATGAGTGATTAAAATTTCCAGTACCCTAAAGTGTGGAAATTTTCAAATAAGGTCCCAACACTATCACCAAGGTCTGTCTTTCCTAACAGAGCAGCTGTTTTCTCTTGTGACTTGCCTTTGCTCCTGTACTTTTATTGATTTATTTAAAATTTTTATTCCACCATCATGTAAAATGACTTTTAAAGCATCTACAAATTTAAAACTAACTTTTAAAAAATGTACACAGAAAAGAATTTAAAACAAGCAAAAAATGTAGAAAGGCAAACACAAGCCTCCTTCTCATCTCCTATTTTTTCTCTCCAGAGGCAACTACTATTACCAATTTCTTTTATATCATTTCATAGATATTCTGTATATACACATGCATATATAGTTCTACCCTTTGTCACGCAAATAGAAACACTGCTTACACTGTTGCGCACCTTGCTTTCTTCACATATTTTGAAAATCATTTACCATCAATACTTATAGTTTTTTTGTTTTTAATCCTCAGCTGAGGGTATTTTCTTCATTGCTCTTCAGAGAGAGTGGAAGAGAAAGGGAGAGAGAGACATTGATGTGAGAGAGATACATGGACTGGTTGCCTCCCGCACACGCCTTGACGGGGGCTGGGGGTTGAGCCTACAACTGACATATGTGCCCTTGGTCAGAATCAAACCCGGGACCTTTCAGTCCACAGGCCGATGCTCTAACCATTGAGTCAAACTGGCTGGGGCTACTTATAGGTTTTTTAAGTAGCTGTATAGTGTACCACTATATCACATTTTCTGTGATAATGTGAAAGGCAGCTCAGTATTAAGATGCACAATCAATATGATCATTTAGGCCCTGGCTGGGTAGCTGTTGGTTAGTGCATTGTCCCAATATGCCAAGGTTGCTAGTTCAATCCCTGGCCAGGGCACATACAAGAATCAACCAGTGAATGCATAAATAAATAGAACAACAAATAGGTGTTTTTTTCTCTCTCTCTCCCCCCTCCCTCTCTTCCCTTCCTCTCTCTCTAAAATCAACTTAAAAAAAAAAATATGATCATTAAAACAAGGCTAAACAGAAAGCATGTAGTAAAAGAAGAGAAAGTCATAACAGAAAGCATAAGCTAAGCTCATATGCTTGGAAAAATAAAGAAGCAATTTTTATTTAATTGGCTCATAGAATTAATGCTTTTACCCGAGGCCAAATATTGTACTTTAAAAAGAAAAGACATAAGCAGATGCAGACAAAAATAGAACTGTGGACTCATGAACTGTACAGACACCTTATGAAAGCTCTGTCTTTGTGCTGTGGTCTCAGTCATGGCTGGGCCTGGGGCTGCTGCCAGTGGAAAGGAAAAAATTACCTTGCCTAATGAAAAAGTCAGGCAATATTTCATTGCAGCTCATACATTTGAAATACATTTTACTTCTTTATTTTTTATTCCAAGTTATCTGTTTATTGTAGAAAAGTTTGAACAATGAAAAATAGAATTATGATGTATACCTCATTTTAAAATTTTATAAAGGCAATACATACTATTTGTGAAATACATAAAATTATAATATTAAACACTTACTAGTCCACCATTCATGGTAATCATTTTCAAATATATATCTTTCTGCATTTTGGAATATACCCTAATCTACAACTCGTATTCTGTTTTTTTCATCTACTTAACCATTATGGCTTAAGTAATTTCTTGTGATAGTGAAAATGCTTTTTATACATTTGTGATGTCTGCATACTGTTCCAGTGGTCAGATTGGATGAGAATAGCACTTTTATTCATGTTTGATGAGTGTATAAATTAATGTAGCATTTCTGGGAAGCAGCTTAGTAATATGTATCAAGAGCCTTAAGAAAACATCCATGCCATTTGTTAGCCTATTCCATTTATTAAGAATCTGTTCTAACTTCTGCTGTAATAATCACATATAGGAATAAGTATTTTAAAATAAGGGTTTTCATTATAATAGTAGTTGTAATAGTGAAACCTGAAAATTGACTATCCAACAATAGGAAATTAGTTAAGCAAATTACGGTATATTCATATGAGATATATAACTATTAAGATAATATTCAAAGAACATTTAAAATGATGTGACATGTTCATTATATACTAAATGAAAAAATAAGAATTAAAGTTACATACACCATATGATCCCAGTTTTGTTTTTTAAAACTGAAATTTTTATATGTATTGCATATATAGAAAGAAAAATGAGAAACCCACTGAAATATCTAATTAGTGGGATTGAAACTGGGTTTTAATTTTTTTAATAATTTTTCATATTTTCTTAATTTTTTCTCCAAGGAGGTACTATTTTTATAATCAGAAAAAATATAAGAAACATTTTTAACATAATCTTTTGGCTCAGATTTTTTTGCAATAATTCCAAACTTTGCTGTCTTATTCAGATACAAGAATAAGATTTTCGGCTGTGATTTTAAAAACTTCCCTTCTCCTTTTGAATTCCCAAAGGAAAATAGGAAGAAGGCAGGAGATTTGGGTTTGCATTTGCAGTCCAGGGCTGAAGCTGCAGCAGCAAAGGTTGTGCCAGCACAAAAGCATTCAGGTCAAAGGGAAAGAGCTTGAGAAAATAATTGAAAATAAGATAATTCTGTAGGTGCAGGTGCTTGCTGTCTTGGGATTGAGTCACAAAGCTGCCTGCCAGAAGGAGAAGCCAGTGTCTTTGTAACTGAGTTCCAACTCTCCAAAACTGTCTCCTCCCTGTGTTGAAACCCCAGTGATTTTTAATCCCACTGGTGGTCACAGGGAGGCAAATATGTTTTCCTTAATATGTCACGCTGTGTAACTGAAGTAATTATAATAGCCACCATTTAATGAGAGCCTTAATAATCCTAAAAAGAAGTAATCATCAGCCCTGTTTTCTAGCTGGAGAAATTGAGGCTCAGAGAGGTTAAGTAACTTTTTCATAATCATACAAGTAATTAGGGTTGTTAGAATCCAAACTCAGGTCTGGATTCTAAAATATGTGCTCATTCTGTTGCTTCTTCACTCACTGTTCTGAACTCTTTAAGGGGCAAATTGGTAGACTAGTTTTGAGCAAGACCTAGAACTTTATGTTCTAGATCAGTGATTTTCAACCAGTGCACCACAAGAATTTTTAAAACATGCAATACCTGACTATTTAGTCAGGGGCACGACCTCTTTTTCCTTAGATTGTCAAGTAAAAAAATGACAACAGCCAACACAATGGTAGCCTTTCTGTGTGAATGCCCTTATGGTCTTGAACCATAAGTATATAGGTCATATAATAGAGTTGCATCTTTTTGGTCACATCATATAATAAGGCTATGTCTAATTGGTTAATTCTTGGTACCAGAAATCCTTATATATAAGTATAGGCACCTGACTTTTTTTTTTTTAAAGTCACTTTGGAGCAAAAGGGGTAGGTAATTGCTATTATTATTATTTTGTAAATCAAAATTGTGCCTATTTTTTTTTGTCAAATGGGCAAAAAATACATTTTTTGGTGTACCACAGAATTTTAGTAATTAGTTTGTGTGCCATGAGATGAAAAAGGTTGAAAATTGCTCTTCTAGATAAACATCTAGTAAGATCTGTGGCTTTGCATGTTGGTTTCTCAGCTTTGAATTTTGTAATGTATGTTAATCATATTATACATTGTTGTGTCCTTCTTGGATAACGTGTTTCAGAATTACTAAAAATCTTTTGATTAATTTATCAAAGGATGTGTGTTTTTCTTTGATTACAGTAATCCCCATTAACCCGCTTCAACTCAGTGATTGTAAAATGGAAAACAGCAGCTTTATTTACAGTGCAATTAAAATACATCTGAGGAAATAGGGCTCATTTGTGTACGCATCTGAGCTCAGTCATCAGGCAGCTTAGAGGGGTATCAGTGCCCCAGGTCATCTGTATGTAGCAGTCCAGTGACAGCTTCAGTACATCTTTTGTTGCAAGTAGGAAGAAAAGAGATCTAACTTTCCTCTTACTGTCGGATTATTCCATCCTGTTTTTGGTAATTATGATCCTGCTGACAGGATAGAGATGTGCCACATTTTAAGTATAACCCCACTGGTCCTGGCATGCCATCTCTCTGTGGAAATATCTAGACACCCATGAGAAAAGTGGATGAGAAAGGCACACTTTTGCCACAAGTCAGTATCCCTGTTCTTTTAGGATCCTCTTCCTCTGTCACACCTAATCCCTTTTCATTTTTTTCTCACTGATGTCATCTAAAAGAAATGAATGACTAGAAAGCAGGGTGGGGGCCACGGCCTGGGAATTGGAATGCCTTTTTGGTCTCCTTTTCCTCTTCAGAGGCCTCCCTGATGCCTCCTGATAACAGTTTGGCAAGGTGCTAGTGTAATTAAATTGGTGGTTGTGCTCACAGGTTTATCTTAATAACCGTCTAGATTAGAGTGAGTTCTCTTAGTGGTCATGCTGCACATGCTTTCAGAGTAAATTTAGCATGATAACAAAGGCACAGAGGAGTGGGCAGCTACTCCAACTTGGGTTTGATTAGAAAAGATCAAATATGATCTGCAAAATACTTCTTGATATGATCTTGGATATGAAGATTAGAACCCAGAGTTCTTGGCCCTGTTCCAGTTTTCAAACCACTAAATATTAAGCATTAGATAAAAAGCAACATTAAAGGAATGATTAAACAATTTTGAGTACCCTAAAGTTTGGAAATTCTCTGATAAGGTCCCAACACCACCAAAGTCTGTCTGTCTGCTAACAAAGCAAATATTTTCTCCTGTGACTTATCTTTGCTCATATACTTTTATTTATTTATTTAAAGTTTTTATTCCATTGTCATGTAAAAAGACTTTAAAGGCATTTACTAATGAAAAAAATTCAACCAGTGCCCACATAGTAATTAGTAAAGTCTGCTTATTACATAGTACTTTGTCCTGATGGAATGTTTACTGTGTGGCATGAAGCCACAAATGATAATGTTGTAAAATAAGGAAAAGAAAAACTGTTAATTGTTGCCCCACAGATATCTGGTGATTTCGGAAAAACTTGAGGAGATTAAGTCTTTCCGGGAGTTGACCTGCCTGGATCTTTCCTGTTGCAAGCTTGGAGATGAACATGAACTTCTAGAGCATCTCACCAATGAGGCCCTATCTAGGTATTGCCACCATTTGCAGATGAATTGTTTTAGTATTTTTTAAAAGGATAATCCAATTTGATCATCTTGAAGAATGCCAATTACTTCCCAATCTTATGTTTATTTGCTAATTTTTTTGTAAACCTTTTCAATTTCCATTTACTTGATAGAACAAATATAGGTTGGACAACTCTTATGAAAGTAAGTCAGTTTCATTTTTCTAAATAACCTTTATTTCAACATGTAGTACTTGAAGCTACCTGGTTTGAAAAATGATTTTGCCCTTTATTTGTCTAGTCCTAGTTTATTCTAGCAAGAGATGAGGAGTTATATAATTTTCCATAATCATCACTTTCTATTTTAACTGTCAGTGAACTATAAATTATTTAAAAAGTCAACTATTAAGACAGCCAAGTACATCCTTTTCAAGAACCTTAATTTAAAGAAATCACTCAGTTCATACCATTCACAAATATCTGACTGATCTCAGTCTGGCCAGCAGAGAGGAGGCCGAATGGATTCCTTTGTGGTTTTATAAACACCCAGAGGGATAACAGCATTACAAACCTGAGTCTAACCCACTTCCTGGGGCCTTCCTAGGACAGACACCTACATACTGCTCTGTACAAAGGTATTTTTGTGTGAGGTTAGTAAAAGTTCAGATTTCCTCTTGTGTGTGGGACAGTGGAGCATATTAATACACCAGTTTCAGGTAAGCTGGATGGATTGGGTTATGGGTATTTCTTAAAAACCCATTCTGAAAATCTGGATTTATAAAGCTAGTTAAACTTAGAGGATTGTTTGCTTTGCCAAAAGAATTCTCATAGGAGTTCTTTAGCAGACTTCCCTCACATAATCTAGAGTGTTTTTGGTTTCCACACAGCATTTGTCAGAAATGCAGCTTTTGTGTTTAACAAGGTATATTTATCTTCCTAATGGAGTCCATTTATCTCATTCCACCATATACTATTAGTGCCTTCTGCCATCTGAGATTAATGCCACATGACACTTTGATCCCTAAATTAACCCTCACTTAGTGACTGAAATAGCACCAAAATATCTTTAGCTCCATTAAATGCATTGGGTGTGAAATAGCAGGGTGGGGAAGGAGGCAGTGTAGAGGATATTTTACATTTTATATTTTTAAATGAAATTTATGAAAGTGTGTTATACCTAGACTTTCTCAAACTCTCTAATTTATTTATGGACTTTGTTTCCCTAGTGTAACTCAACTCCACCTGAAGGATAATTGTTTATCTGATGCTGGGGTACGGAAAATGACAGCACCAGTTCGAGTGATGAAAAGAGGCCTTGAAAATCTATCATTATTAGACCTATCTTGTAAGTGTTATTGGAAATAGATTATTAATGTTGGAAGGATGGCCTTAGAAATCACCTAGTTCTTCCGTTCATTTTAGAGGTGATAAAGTGAGAGGACTTTCCTAGATGGCACAGCAAGTTAGTGACAGAGCAGGACTAAAGCCAGAGGCTCTTGACTCCTGGCCAGATACCTCTCCTGGCATGCTGGCACCTCTTCACTGTAGGAAAAGCCCTCACAGATTCATCAGTGCCACTCACTGTGTGCAAACAGGGCAGCCTTTCATCATATCTGTAGCATCTTTAAGGCACATTTGGTTCATCTTTACTTTCTTTTAGTTGCTGATCCATAGTGTCTGTCATCTAGGTCTTTTTTCTAATACGAATATTTGCTTGATGAAAATCCAAATGAATCCACAGTTGTGATAACTTACTTAGAATTAGCCAGATACTGACACCAATGTTAGAAAGTTGATAGAGATCATTTACAATTTAACTGAGCATCCATTGAATGTATGGCAGGATGGTACAGTATCAGAAGAAGAGAAGGAACAAGATTCAGAGGACACTCCTTGCTCTGCTACTCTTATTAGCAGCTGTGTGCCCTTCAGCAGGTTATTTAGCCTCTCTGAGCCTTGGTTTTGGCTTCTGTAAAATAAAGATAATAATAATGTCCTGCCTTCCTCTCAGGAAAGTGTATTCATTCAACAAATATCTTTTGAGCATCTACAATGTGCCAGGCACTGTGCTCATGGCCTTGAGGACTCAGTGCTAAATGTACTGTCTGATGTGAGAAGGTAATATGTAAGAAAGGCTTCTGAAAAAAAAGCAACTTAGTAATAGTAGTAATAGCCCCTGTGTCTAAGTACCTTTGAAAACCTTTTCAAAATAAATCTTTTTACTCTGGAAGTAAAACAGCCATGAACAAAGTCTGATGAACCATTTAAATACATGTTTATATATGTTGTTTCCTTATGGTTGCAAGTTAAACCCTTTGGAATACCTACCTGGTTCATTTATTTTTCTGCTAACCCCCCAACTCCTAGAAAGTTAAAGCTATAAAGGATCTTAAGGTTCATCTTGTGTGTGGCTCCTTCATATTACAGGTAGAATACAGAGAAGATCCCTATATTTAATTTACTCTGAAAAGTTTGTTCACTCAATATTTTATATTTTATCATTGTTTGCCCCTTTTTCTGACCTTATTGTTGGCATTTTAGCAATAGTGATACTGTAACTGAGCACTACCTATGTTTTTGACATCTAGGTAACCCTGAGATCACAGATGCAGGAATTGGATACCTCTTTTCTTTTAGAAAACTAAACTGCTTAGATATCTCTGGAACAGGGCTCAAGGTAGGACTTTTACTCCCTTCTCTTATTTTTCCACACTCACAATTAGATATTTTGCTTCTGTTAATTGGTGTTTAGAAAAAACTGGTATGTATGATGGTGTTTATTTCCTACTGAAAGCAAGTACTAATTGACCAGATGTGTGGGCTTCCTGTTCTGTCTTTCCCTCACTAGGACATCAAAGCTGTCAAACACAAGCTCCAGACCCACATAGGCCTTGTCCACTCCAAAGTGCCTCTGAAGGAATTTGATCACAGTAACTGCAAGACTGAGGGCTGGGCTGACCAGGTACTGCATATTTTCCCCCCACACAATTAATATGGCTTTTCATTTTCGTTCTAAGTTTCATATTCAACACTTTGAACAAACATTAATCCTCTTGGTATTTCTTGACTGAATTGTCATCTTCATGTTAAATCAGACACACCGATGGCCTATAATTGACCCAACTACTTCAAGAAAGATATTAGATGCTGGTCCTTAAATCTCATGCTCTGGTCACTAGACTGTGCCTCATCCTTATTGGACCTAGGAGAAAATTCCATCTTACAAAGATTCTGAAAATAAATGAACTTTGGCTTACTTTGAAAAAAGCAGTATGACCCACTTCTGAAGGACAGTTTCTCTTAGCTGTCTAGAAAGAGAGTAAGTCACACTGATAATGATCCAAACCTCTTCCTCTTTGGGGGACAAATTTCTTACATCTTAGAGCCTAAATGAGTAAAGGTCTTTTTGTCCTCTCACTGGACATTCCCATTTTTATCTTGACTCTGTCTCGTTGTCTTGATGGTCTCCCTCAACTTCATAAAGTACAGGCTTAAGTGGGAAGCCAGAAGGTAACTAAGTATACAGCACCAGTAGATGCCAGCTTGACTATGGCTGGTGCCTTTCTCCTTCAGACCCTTTAAATCAGTGTTTCTTGGCAGAGGCCTAGAGGACTCCCCAAACTGTTTTGTTCTGTATTCTTCCTTGGTTCAAGCTGTAATGCATGATGGTGGACCTATCCAACTGCCTGATTGTAGTATCACCTCCCCATAGATAAACAGGAAGGGGTGCCAGTGAGTCAGTCTTTCAGAAGCATTTTGAAGTTGGTCCAGAAAATGCATGCTGAAATAATTATCATAGTGCATTGCCAGACACAGTTTGTAGCACTGGATGAATCCTAGACATAGCTAGTAGTGGACTTGGGGCAGGTAGGTGTGGATGGTCATATAAAGGCTGATGTAGTTTGGTAGCAGGTTGTCATGGTGGAAAGAGCTATGGAGTCAAAGAGACCTGGATTTGGGATCCTGGCTTGACAACCCGACTTAAGGCAACTTTGAGTCTCTGTATCTTCATCTGTAAAATGCAGAAACCAGGAGCTCTCCTTCAGAGCTTGGTAAAGGTAAAGTAAAGTACCTAGCAGCCTGGCCTGGAAGTAAGTGAATTAGACTCTGTGCAGATTCAGCCTGGCCCCCAGGACTTGGCTGCAGAGCTTTATCTGTCTCTTGTTGATCCCTTGTTAAAACTGTTTCAGGCAGACTCTGTGCTCCTCCTGCCTCATTTTCAGCATGCGACAGAAAAAATGAGGCTAACAGGAGCCTCCTTACTTCCCTATCTCTTTCTTAAATTGTCTCCATTTCTTCTGCTGTATTCTACTTCCCTCCTATCTAAGGGGAACAGGGATGTGACTATTTTAGTGATAAGTCCTTTTGGTATGTTTTTTCAGTTCTGTTCCCTAAGATCACCAGCTTCCTCTGTGATATTTTACTAATTATTTCCCTCCACTGCCCCACCACTGCACCTTCAGTCTCACCCTGTATTGGCTATTTTCTTTCTGTGTATAAACATACTTGAGCTACTCTTACTCTAACATGGTCCTCATCCCCCAACAGAATGATGAATTGTTTTCTGTTATCTCTCTCACCTCCTCACTACCTACTCAGTTCTTAATCCTTTGTAATCTAGGTCTGGCCTTCACTTCTCTACTGTAGGTGTTCTCTTAAAGGTAGCATGTGATCTCATGGTCACCTCCTTGGATTTTCTGCAGCATCGATAGAAACATGCCTGCCTTATGCTTTTTCTCTCTTGGCCTTTCTCCTGGTTCTCCCCTAACTTTTTCACTTTTCCCTCTATTTCTTGCTGATTCCTCACCTCTTTTCTGATACCTCCACTCGCTCTCCTGGTGATCTTAACTGTTCTCAGAGGTGTAACTGTCCCTGTGGATCCACCTTCTCTCTCACACGACCCATTCCTAAATAACATCCATAAATCTCCACCTGGTACCTCAAATTCCCCTTTTCTAGAACCTAACACATACTCTTCTTCCCTATCCACAAGCTCTTCTTATGGACATTCTAATTTCTTAGTTGCCCACTGAGTCACCAGATTCAGTTCATCCATCTTGGCATTTTCTTCGATCTGTCCACATTTTCCATAATCAGGAAAGTATTGTAGAAGGGTTGTCAGTTGATATTTATTGACTGCTTTTTGTGTGCCAGACACTGTGCCGCACCCTTCATGTATGTTATCTCATTTAACAAGAAATTGAGACTCAGAAATTAAATCACTTGCCAAGGGTCCCCCTGGCTAGTAAGTAGTAGCGCAAGCTCTGGAATTGTATTCTTTTTTTTTTTTTTTTAAATATATCTTTATTGATTTCAGAGAGAGGAAAGGAGAGGGAGAGAGACAGAAACATCAGTGATGAGAGAGTCATTGATCAGCTGCCTCCTGCATACCCCCGACTGGGGACTGAGCCCGCAAACCAGGCATGTGCCCTGGCTGGGAATTGAACCCCGATCGCCTGGATCCCAGGTCGATGCTCAGCCGCTGAGCCACGCCCGGCCGGGCTGGAATTGTATTCTTAAACTGTGTACTGAAATATTTTTCAGGACATACTGGCTCTGTGTCCTGAAATATTTTTCTTTATGATCATTTCATTGCATACCATAATGAAAAATATTAAGTTTAGTTCTTGTTACTCATGGTATATGTGAAATAATCGTTTATTTATATATAGTTTCTACTCGGCCAGATTTCCTAAAGAATTTGTAGTCGCTTATAATAAAAATACATTTGTGATGGTGTTAAAAATGGAAGTTGATCATGAAGTGTCTTAAGAATATGGAAATGTGGGCATTTTACACACATACAAGAGTTTTGAGTTATAGTTGGTGCATTTTGAGGCATGAGAGTGAGACTAGGAATGTGTGAATAGTAATGACTAAGGTTTCAAATTTTAGTATTTAGTTTAAGGATATGCAGTTTATTTCTAGCTTGGATGAGAGATGAGAATAGGGAGTGAGGTTCCAGGTGTATCCTGAGTCATGCAGACACACGTACCCCACAGGCTTGTATCTGACCAGCTCCCGTATTAACACAGGGACCAGGCCTGACTTGATCCTTGTTCTTAACCACAGTCATCTGAAGTGAGACTACTGCAGGAGTTTGTGATCACGGACAGGGAACAGAGGGCAACAAGGAAGGTTTGTGAATTAAAAGCTTGAGATTTTGTTCAGATTCACATCTTTTCAAATACATTTTAGATTGTCCTGCAGTGGGAGCGTGTGACTTCGGAAGCTGTGAAGCCACGAGAAGCCTTGGAACCTCGAAAGGCAGCTCAGCACTTCTGTGAGGAATTCTATTTCCTTTGGAATTTTTGCTCTTAGGTTTTTTGCACCCATAAAGCAGTTAGCTTGTTTTCACAAAGTGGAAAATGAATTCTGATAGTACCGACTTAATTAAATCACCAAACCTTGTGTTCTTCAACATAGCTTACAGTATAAGTTCACACTTAGCTTTGAGCACCAGTACTGGGAAAATAGCTTATTAAATGTATATATGTATTTACTTATCCCATCTTGTTCCAAAAATGATTTGCAGTGGCACAAAAGTAGATAGATTACAGAAGATTAAAAGGAATTAAGCATAGCCAAAGGTAGAAGCAACTCAAGTGTTCATCAATAGATGAATGAATAATCAAAATGTATTATTTACATATGGTGGAATATTATTAAGCCTTAAAAAGGAAGGAAATTTTAATACATGCTATAACATAGATGAAACTTGAAGACATGCCAAGTGAAGTAAGCCAGTCAAAAAAACCCAAATATTGTATGATTCTTCTTATATGAGGCTCCTAGAATAGTCAAGTTCATAGAGGCAGAGAGTGGAAGGTGGTTGTCAGGGACTGGGTGGGGGGTAATAGGGACTTATTGTTTAATAATAGGTATGGAATTTCAGTTTTGCAAAATGAAAAACTTATGGAGTTGGATGGTGGTCACAGTAGCACAGCAGTGTGAATGTACTTAATGCCACAGAACTGTACACTAAAAAATAGTTAAAATTGTAAATTTAGTTATGTATATTTTACCATAATTTTTAAAAACAGGGTTAAATGATGAAATCTAAGTGAAGGAAAAATAAAGGTAACAAAATAGGAAGTGAAGGCATACCAAAACGAATACATGTCATATCATTTGCTAGAGTCGTGCCATAAATTTGGCTCTTAGAAGATAGTCAAGTCCAGATTTTTAATAGTAATAGCCAACATTTTTTAGCTTTTACTATGTGTCAAGCATTGTGCTAAGCATTTTATGCACATTATTTCATTTATCTTCACATCACCCTTAAGAAACAGGTTTTATATCCCTATAAAGATGAGAAAACTGAATCTCAGGTCATTTACCCAAGGTCTCTAATCCAGAAATTAGAGTACATGCCTTCAACTTGTGCTTTTGCATATGCCACTGTAACTCAAAGGGAATAAAATTAATCCAAACATCACCCTGTTTGGGCCTTTGTCATTTTCTTTGGATCATCTTTCTAGACCTGGGCAGGCATTAACATGCCAGTGTAGTAAACTCCTCACCCTTCCCTTCTGTCTCTCTTACAGATGGGAAGCAGGCTCGGACAGAAACCCCAGTGAAGTATCCCCTGGCAGACACCCACATGAACTCTTCTGAGAAACTCCAGTTCTATAGAGAGAAAGCCCCAGACTGCCATGGGCCAGTGTTGAAACTCGAAGCTGTCTCAAGCCAGGAGTCAAAGAAGAGCAAGAAAAGAGGTTTTGAGGAACCAGAAAAGGAACAGAGTAACTCTTCACAGTCTTCAAAGCAGAAATACGTGTGTCTCACTGTGGAAGACTGGGACTTGTTAAATTCCTATTGATTGGCAGATAGAAGTTGACCTTTCCCCCTGCCAACTCTAATGTACGAGAAAAGGGGGCTAATGTTTTCCTCTTTGTTTGAATTTACCTATGATATTAGCATAGCAAGCAGATATTTCTACTTTTGTGGTGGGGGAGGGGAATGCTATGGAAGTATGTAATAATTTCTAATGTATATTTTCAATACATAGTAATTTTTTCAAATAAACATTTTTGCTGTCCTTAAGTTATGCTTATGATATATGGACTGAGCCATAGGAAATAACACTGGTTTGGGATGAAAGGCCATCTAAAATAACAAGGCAGCTTAGCATGATTTGTTACCACCTCAATTTGGCCTGGCCAATTACATGTATATCTACCATATTGAGTGTTTACTAGGTGCCAAGCCCTGTCCTCCGTGGAAGAAAGGTATTAGCCCCAATTTAGAGTTAAGAAAACTCAGCCTCAAGTTAAGTGAGTTGTTCAAGGTCACAGAGCTTATAAGTGACAGAACCAGAATTTATACTCCTTTTTGTCTGACTCTAAAGCCCACTCTGTTAGTGCCTTTTAAATAATAATTATCATTTATTAAAATCCCAACTACTATGTCTATGAAGTAAAGCAGCAGGAATCTTCACAGCAGTTCTGCAAAGTAAGTATTATCACCTCTGTGTTACAGATGAGGAACCTGAGACCGACGACTTGCCTTGGACCAGTGCTTCTCAATCTTTGTTGTGCATGCAGTCACCTGGGGGTTTTGTTAAAATGCAGATTCTGATTCAGTAGGTCTGGAGTGGGGCCTGAAGTTCAGCTTTGGTAACAAGTTTCCGGATATGCCAGTGTTTCTAATCTGTGGACTGCACTTTGAGTAGCAGGGCTCTAGACCTTCACTGTCTAATATGGTAACCCCTAATCACTTACGGCCATTGAACATTTGGTATGGGTCTAGTCCAAATTGAGATGTGTATAAACTAACTACCAGATATCAGACATCAAAGTACAAAAGTATGAGTGAAAAATATCTGCATTTTAAAGTATTGATTACATGTTAACATGGTAATTTGGGGTTTAAAAATGTGAATTTCACCTGGTTTTGTTTTTCTGATGTGGCTCCTAAAAAGCTTAACATGGCTTGCATTTGTGGTTTGCATTATATTTCCACTGGACAATGCTGCTCTAGACCATATTCCATCCTTAAACAGTAGCTTAAAGCCAGACCTGGCAAGTATAAGGAAGGAAGAGAGAATACCTTAAGGAATTAAGAAAGTTGGTGTGACAGGTTTGACATTTGGAAGTACTCTGGAGTTTAACTGGGATTTTAATAAAGGTAGAGCTTGGATCTGATATGGTGCTAGCCTGCTTCCCAGCATCATATCAGAAGCTCTGATTTGTGAAATTTATGAAATGAAAAGGCAGCATAGATTGTTCTTTTTGTAGAAGTAAACTTGAGTTTTACAATGTTATTTGGGTGGACAGTAGCACACTTTACCAAATTCCCAGTGCAAATAAACAGCCTTGTCAAACTTGGCATATATTGAAAGTCAAACTTGAGTCTAATTTGATCACCCCCCACTGCCACCACCCCCATAGTGTGGTGCAATGCTGTGTCAGAAAGTGGCATCTAGAATTACTTCTCAAACATTCCACCTGTTTAGATCATTTTGGAAGGCAAATCTTCCTTCAAAGCAACGTCTGATTACTTCTTTTATAAACACAGTTTTCTTTTAGAGCTAAGGTTTCATTTTCTTTAATTCTTTTTTTTTTTCTTTCAAGGATCTCATTTTTGTCCACTGGTGATTCCCCTAAACAAATATTTCTTGTTTGAGCTGAACAATTTATTGTAGTCATTCAAATGGAGTTATGAAAGTCTAAGGTTTGTTTTAACGATTGAGATGAAGGTCAAGAATTTGGCATAAAATAGATGGAGTGTGTATGTGTGTGTGTATGTTTAACTTACATGTGAGGATTAAGCTATTTTTAAATTATAGTTTATTTCTTAGGATTCACTTGCTGATTTATGGACTTTGGGCAAGTGACTCAATTCTGTTAATCCTCAATTTACCTCTTGAAAACTGCCACCTACCTACATAATGCTTGTAAAAATAAATCAATGTTTCTCATAAGTATGGTCTGTGGACCTCTGCCCAGAGTCTCCTAGGGTATTTGTTAAGATGAAAATTCCTACACTCCACCCATATTCAGTGAATCAGAATCTTTTAGTTTGTTTGAATTACAGAAGATTCTTACATTGGGCCAAGTTTTCTTCTCATTTACTTACTATAGGGAGCCTGTAATAAAAGTGCAAATAACCTCCACCCCTCCATTCTGATTCTGGAGCACTGGTTGGCCCCAGGAACCTGCGTTTTCATCAAGCAACACTCCTCTATGCCACCCCCAAGAATCTGATGTGGAAGATCCCAGGACTTCTCTTTGAGAAACTAGATGAAGAAGATGAAATGAGAATGACAAGGACTCCCCAAATAAAGTACTCTAAATCTCAGTGTGCTTTGCAGATGAGAAACTGCTTGGGTGTGTGGGGGACTTGCTGGGAAAGTCAGGGTATAAGTCTCAGGTTGCCCTGCCAGGCGTGGCTCAGCAGCCGAGCATCGATCTAGGATCCAGGAGATCACCTTTCGATTCCTGGTCAGGGCACATGCCCGGGTTGTGGGCTCGATCCCTGGTCGGGGGCGTGCAGGAGGCAGCAGATCAATGACGACTGTCTCATCATTGATGTTTCTCTCTCTGTCCCTTTCTCTCCCTGAAATCAATAAAGATACATTTTTTTTTAAAAAATCTCAGATTGACTTCAGGTCCAGTATTTCCCTGTGGCATCGAGCAGGCTAAATGGAGAATTTTACAGGCCTTAATCTCATTTACTCCCCCACTCCCATCCGAGGAAATAGGAGGCTCAAGTCACTGCCTCCAACTCAGCCTATAAAATAAAATAATGCCAGGCCAGTGTTGCTCAGTGGATTGAGTGTTGCCTCATGCACCAAGAGGTTGCTGGTTCAATTCCCAGTCAGGGCACATGCCTGGGTTGCTGGCTCAATCCCCAGTAGGGGGTGTGCAGGAGGCAGCCAATCAATGTTTCTCTCCCTCTCCATCTCTCTAAAAATCATTTTTTAAAAAAAAATGAAATGATGGTTGGGTCCTGCCTTCTCAATGAATGAGGTAGAACAAATATCCAAGTTTAGACTCCCCCCCCCCACCTCCCCCAAGCCTGGCTGGTCGTGGAAGACTTCTGGGAAAGCGCCTCCCTCTGCTTTGCTCAAAGGATTCAGAAAGCAGCCAAGATGGAGTAATGGGATCAGCTTCACCTTCCTGCCTGGAACAACCAAAAAGTATATAAGGACTATTGGGCCCTGGGCTCTGAGTGACTCTCCAGCTTTGATGTCAGCAGTTCAATCAATCTAAGGATGAACGGAGAGTCCCAGGCAAACAGTGATGGCAGAGGGTTAAATCAGACCAGATTTCCAGTCCAAACCCTGGGGCAAAGGCTGAGCCACTTTAAATTCCATCCATCTATCCCTGCGTGTTTGCTCAGCAAAGAGTCTGTTGTACTTAAGTACTGATCTTGGAGCTGGGGCCAGGGATGCTGGGAGATGGCAAATATTGATGCTGGCTGCCTGGATTCTCCCTGCAGGCTGTGGCATCAAATCCCCTGCTCTGCAGATGAGAACCAAGGGAGGGCCCTGGCTGGCTGTGCTAGGCACTGTCTTTCTGGGCCTGGTTTATGGAGTGCTGTTTGGGAAGTTGCTAGGACATCTGCTTTGTTCTGAAAGGAAGAACCAGTAAGTAAGAAAAGAAAAAATGCTGTTCTGCTAATGCCAGCGACCTTCTGGCCTGGGCTCCAGTTTTCTCTTCTAGGGAGTCCTGGCAGAGAAAGGGTGAGACATTAGGGAGGGGTATGGTGGGCTCTGGATTTGGACCTATCAAGGTTTGATCCTGAGTAAGTCCTTTAAAAGCTGTGTGACCTTGCCCTGACCAGCGTGTCTCAGTGGTTAGAGCGTTGGCCTGGGCACTGGAGGGTTGCGGGTTCAATCCATGTATGGGGGAGGCAACCAATGTGTCTCTCTCACAATGATGTTTCTCTCTCTCTCTCTCTCTCTCTTTCTCCCCCCCTCCCCCCCACTCTCTCTAAAAA